GTGAGTGTGTCTGTGTGAGTGTGTGTCTGTCTGTGTGCGTGCGTGTGTTTGTGTGTGTTTGCGTGCGTGTGTGTGTGTGTGTGTTTTCCTGTGACACACAGGCCACCTCAGGGTGCTTTATACTGTAAGATAAAGACAATAATACACATGTGTGTGTGTGTGTGTGTGTGTGTGTGTGTGTGTGTTTCAGAGTGAGGGTGCTGGTGGCTCTTGTGTGCAACTTCTGCATAAATAGCAAAAATAAAAATCACACATCCTGGATTACTGAGAGCAAAATCAGCTTATTATGATGATAATCACCGAATGTACAGATTTTAGGGTCAGTGCTGCCTTTCCCATAAGGATCTGGTGTCTTTCTAAAAATACACTTGATTGTATTCAGACTACTTAATGTTTTAGGGGGTTTTCTCTCCTTTCAAGGGATGTTGATCCTGTGGTCTGTGCCATCAAAAGAGGAGATGTGGAAACTGTCAAAAATCTGACAGCCTCTTCTCACTGGGTGCTGAAGGAGAACAATGATGGATGGATACCTTTGCATGATGCTGCCTACTGTGGACAGGATGAGTGCTTGAAGACCCTTTTAAGGGGTAGGTGATTGAAAGTCTCAAAGAATTATCCCAGAAATGTAATTTGTCACCCTTGAATGAATCACATGTTAAGAAAAGAATCGTAAATCTATTGCGGGAGGACTTTTAAAATGTCATGTGTGCTTGTTTTGTTTAACGTGTATTTTCTGTTCTAGCCCTTCCAGGCTCAGTAGACAAGCGCACATTGCAGGAGCAGACGGCCTTGCTGCTTGCGGTGTCTTGTGAACACTTGGCCTGTGTGCAGTGTCTTTTGGAAGCAGGTGCTGACCCTGACATCAGCAGCAAGAGCAAAGAAACACCTTTGTACAAAGGTACAGCTGTGGGCTAAGAATTTCTTACAACAGCTTATATGAAGCCAGGCTGACTCGTGTCTTTTTGTGTCTGTCCAGCATGCGAGCTTGAGAACATAGACATGGTGAACCTTCTTCTCTCTTATGGGGCCACTGTGAACCAGCGGTGTGCCCAGGGCTGGACAGCCCTTCATGAGGCTGTATCGAGAAACAACACAGAGATCTGTGAGATACTGTTAAGAGCTGGGGCTATAATTAATCCATCTAATACCTACACCATCGCTCCACTGGTTGTAGCAGCTCAGCAAGGACAGATGAGGACACTGTGTTACCTTATTGAGAAAGGTACAAAAAAATTCCAGGTTGTCATGTTTTTGATTTCAATGAAATTATGTTATAAAAGAATGATGATTGTTTTTTGTTTATTTTAGGTGCAGATGTCAACACGCAGACATGCGATGGGGTTACGGCGCTGCATGAAGCGAGTAAAAATGGCCACATGGAAATTGCGGCCCTTCTGTTGACTAAAAATGCAGATGCCAACAAACCGACAAGCTCAGGACTCCTGCCTTTGCACATCGCTGCCCAGTATGGACATGACAAGTAAGTTCAAATACTAACACTTGCAAAATTGATGAAATTATAATAATAATTTAAAAAAATGATTAGTGTGTAAAATTTGTATTCATATCCTAAACTTATTGTTAAAATATGCAATGGAGCGGATGTTGTAAGTGGTGCTGTAAGCTCTAACTTCTCTGTATTTGTTGTGTTAACTTTACATTAACATTCTTTTGCTTTGTTTTCAGGATTGTATCTCTGCTCGTCTCGGTGACAAGTCGAGCCATGCTCCGGCACAGTTGGATCAGCCCCCTCCACCTGGCAGCAGAGCACAACAGACACACTGTAGCAGCTGTGCTACTGAAGACAGGTGCAGATGTAAACGCCACACTGCCCCACAGCCACTCCATCAAGTATGCCGATCGACGCACTACGGCCCTCTACTTTGCTATTGCTAACGGCAGCACCGAAACAGCAGAGGTGTTGCTTAATGCCGGTGCTAGTCTAAGCCTGGATCCAGTCAGCCCTCTGCTGATGGCTGTGCGTCAGGGTTGTGTCAGCACTGTGTCTTTACTGCTAGAAAGAGGAGCTGATTTAAATGCAAGCATCCCAACATGTACTACCACATTCCCAGCTCTTGTTGCACTTTGTCAGAATAATCTGCCTCTACTCAAGTGCCTTCTGGACAATGGCTGTGATGCGCTCTCCTGTTTTACGTGTGCTTATGGCAGTGCCCCTCACCCAGCTGCAGGACAATCCGATATAATAACTGCTGGCAGTAATGGATATGCTTTGCAGAATGGCAGCATGCTTCCTCTAAATTGCAATGAGCCTTCAGAGAGGATAACACAGGTATGCAAAAAGAGCAAAAAGTTGGTCATAACAAAAATATGCATGTTCTTTTTCAGTAATGTAAATTTATATGATTTTCTTTAGTTCTGCGAGTGGATCTCAACGCCAGTAATGAGTAAATGGGCAGGGCCAATTATAGACTTGCTGCTAGAGTATGTTGGCCATGTTCAGCTGTGCAGCAAGCTCACTGAACTGCTGGACAGCCGTGAAGAATGGCACGTTGTCAAGAGGAAGTTGTGTAAGTATCAGATGGAAACATGTCTCTTTCACTCTTTTCTTTCATGTCCTCACACGTCCGTTGAATGCAAATGTGGTCCGCAAGGAAGCAAGCGACAAGCCTCTTCATCTTTCCTTTTTGTCTTGTCTTTAGTGTCACCATGTCCACTGCTGCACCTCTGTAGATTAAAGATTCGGACCCAGATGGGGGGACACAGACTGAGATCCATCACAAGCGTACCTCTGCCAAACAGACTGATTAGATACCTGAGCCATGTTGACTGACTTTAAAATGAACCTCACGCAATATAGTCCTCAGAGATAAGACTATATTTATCTTCTTGTGGTTCTTTTTTTAGTCGTGTCTGATGTCTTGAATGTGTAAATGTTCCTCTCAAAGAAATTTTATGTGTATAAATATCTATTTATAATATATGTGAAGTGACAATAAGCCTCTTTAATCTGTCCTTCAAAATGTGTGTGTGTTTGTGTGTGTGTTTTCCCTTTGGAGAAAGCTTTAGCAAAAGGTAAAAATGATCTTGTGCCCAAAGGAGTTTTTAAGGGAAGTTGAATCATTTATTTAAAAATAAAAGTCATTGTTTCAAATGTGCCTATCAAACATTACTTTGACAAAGAAAGGCGATTCTCATACTTAAAAGAGGAAACTAAAACAGGATGTTTGGATTCATTCTATGACTTTTTTTTTATTTAAAAAAGAACAATCATCCTCTGTAGACACCTAAAAGTAGAAACCTTTTTACCTTACTGTCAATTTTCAGGCATAAGACTGGCATGAAAGTGAAGATGATGAAATTATTCAGTGCAATTTAGTCCTTTAGATTTAAAAGACAAAAATAGATGAAGCATTTCAATAAGTGCTGGAGGAAGTATCTCGATTTAAAATGCTGAAAGAGAAACGCTGAAAGTCATTAGTCCTATTTACACGCGTTTTGTGTGATGGGTTCATTTAGAGAGTTAATTAAATGAATCCAAACACACTGAAGATTGGTGACTGAGCGGTGGGCTTGGTCGGTATGGGTTTGACAACAACGTGCGTGTGAATTTTCTGTCCATAAGGATGCTCGGATCTCTCCGTCTCAGTCCCTGCTGCTTTGCTCCACAATCCCAGGGGCGGATGAGGGACAAAAATGTGATTGTGAAGGATCTGGTGTCCGTGGTACTGGAAAGGGCAACAGCCGCACACACTCACGCAGTGGTGAGAGGTCACGTCCAGTTTCAGCGTCTCTTTATCCGCCGAGCTGCGCCGGCTGCACGCAGATATTGCGGTCTTTGCATCATCATCACAACTTCGTTTCCTCTTTTCATTCTCAGTTCCCTCCGATGTGCCTGCATGGCTCCTTTTCATTCCTAAATATGAGTGCTCCCTCTTGGTTGGGGTCAACTTAGGTTCCTCCCAAAATGAGGCCGGTAGCTGGCGTTTCCTCATAGGCACCTGCTCCACAGAGCTCCCCAGTTGATCCACATCCTGCGCACCAGAGCTGGCCTTTTCTGCCACACTCTGATGGACAGACCCCATCGGTTTGGCGCACCTATACTCCGCAGACCTGTGTGTGTGGCATCTTGGGACTCTGGAGTATTTTTGAGAGAAGCGCTTCAGTTGTTTCTGGAGATATTTCCGGTGATCCACGGAGCGCCTGCACGGAGCGGACTTATCTAGGGCCGCCTTGATGTCGCTGGATGCCAAATTTACAAAATTTAGTAAAGTTTTGACCTCACTGTCTGCATTTGCCATATTGTATCGAGGGTTTGTTCAGTCCATGTTAAAATATGCAATCCACCGTCAGGATCTAAAGAGAAATGAGAAACACACGAGTCACGCAATCAAGCCTCAAATGAGCGGGATGCTGGATATTAGAGATTAGTAACCTTTTACTCACCACTGCTGGATCAGTCCGGATTCTCTCAGTCTAACCTCAGACTTCTCCCAGGCTGCAGTATAGGAGCACTTCAACAAGTTGAATGAATATAAACTCCTTGTAGTTATGGTGCTTCCCTTGAACCAATCAGCGACCCCAGGCCTCTTACAATGCACCCCAATCAGCCTCCAAGCGCCCTGGTATCAAATTCTTCACCATCGCAAATTGTTGTCATGGAGATCTGGAGGGGGGAAAGCCGCTGAGGGGATGCAATATTTCTCCTACAAGATGATTTCTGCTCCGAAAATGGTAAATGTGCGTTTAAAAAACGAGTGCGAATTCTTGTCGAGCATGCGTGCATTATAACCTGACACCAGAGCGGTTAAAGTTGAGTTTCTAACACATAAGCCCGTTATTCCCTCCCCAAGAGTGATGTCAGCTGTAGGATTTGGTGAGGGGTGGTGGGATCTGAAGAGTGCATAACCATGGAAAGGGTCTTGAAGGCTCAAGAATCTTGTCTTTCTGTTTGCCCCCTCAATCGAGCGACACAAAGGCTGAATTACTCATTCAAACCTCGCGGGACAAAGGGAAAGGAGCTGGATAGCACTCCTGCATTTGTAGTCAAACATTTAGAGACTTAAATCGAGTCGTCATGAAGGAGAAAGAGTCGGACAAAGCCCATAGAATTGCCATCAGCAAACATTTTCCTGTGTCATATTATGGGGTCTCCATGGCTCCCTCTGGCCCGCGGACAATAGCACAAGTTTGCACACTCGAATACTGTCACCCTGCCAACGGCAACAAGGGCCCAAAACAGGACAATCCCCAGAGAAAGCATGGGCTCGGCGGGGAAGGTTGCAATAGAGGAGGGAAATGGGACTTGTGAAATGCTAATTGAGCTTCATCCCCTTATTGAAGTGGAAAAAGAGTACCTATCGTTCCACTGAACCGCGGCAGCAGTGGAATGAGATGTGAGGGAACTGTTTGTCTGGTAACACCTCATGCCTCAAATCCTGACACAGCCCTATGCTATGGAGCCAGGAGAGAATTTTTTTTAACTATCCGCAGTCTATATCGAGGCTACAGACCGTTTACTCGGTTAGCTGCGGGCCACATGATTAATTGCCTCATTCGCTTAGTTTGGGGTTGTGTGAGGAGAGCCCTGCTGCAGGTCTGTGTGCATCGGCCGGTCTATCTTTTTAACGGCGCATCCCTCTTGTTCTGAAGAGGCAGTGGGACTCTATTGTCCTCATCTCTTCTTCCTCCCTTCACCTCTCTGTTCAGCTGAAAAGGCCAATTAACAATGCGGTCCCCCCTCCCCATGGCCTGTCACCCCACTCCTGTGCTTTTGAAGTGAGGAAGAATGAGAAAGAGAAAGAGGAAGCATAGTGGCATCCATAAATACTGGGTGGTGGCTGAATTTATTTATTTATTTATTTATTATTTACAGAAGTTCTGAGTGGGAGGAAAACGAACCTCTTGGCACATTTATGTTCACTTTATACAGTTTATATGGGTGCAAAAGGTGTGGCATCAGTGTGTCTGCTGTCCATCATAGAAAAACAGAAACAAAGAGGTCGTTTTAACTCCTGCCAAAGATATACACCTAATTTGTATGTATTTGCTGCGCATGCAAACAAACCCAGAAAAAAACCTGCAGCCAAGACGTGTTATGTGCCTCTGTAACAAACTACAGAGCCATCATCATCTTTGCCATTTTTGCCTAAACCCAATAAGAAGAAGCCCAGAGCTCTAATACGTCTGTAATCTTGCTACCTCCATTGTGGAAGCTGCCCATCCCACATCCATTAGTGAAACTTATGGTAAGTATCTTACCTCTTGCCTTTGCTCAAAAATAACTACAATAAGATGACACTGTTTGATCTGCAAGGGAGATAAAAGTGTAAAAGCAGCACAAAGCAAAGATCAGGCACAGAGATGGGGAAATTAAAAATAAAACTGTACCCATAGAACACAGCAGAATTTGCAAAATCATAAAGATTATATTTTTCTTTAACAGGGAATAGGAGCTACAGCTAAATGTAGAAGTACCAGTAGATACGGTCATTCATGTCCATGTGTGTGTCTAGAAAACTAGAAGCTTTTTCTTTTTTAAGATGTATCTATTTTCCCTTACTAAAGAGTTAGGAAAAAGCCACGCGCAGATGTAAAATAAGTAGTACACTGAAAAATACTGTCCAATAAGTCATCAACTGTATTCTGATATTCCTCAGAATTTATTTATCTTAAACATCATTCCAGTGGTATTGGAGTTGTTTTATCACAGTACAGGCTAATTTAAATAACAAACCTAAGCTTAATATCTCCACCAGCTCCAATAATAATGTGTCAATAAGCAACATAACCTCTGTTTAAAGTCATGTGTTGCCAGGTTTTTCCACTAGATGGCAATCTACCTTCACTATGATGCAGCCCAGCATGAATACAGCACACATCTAACGTTATACCTGCACACTGATATAACACAAGGACAAGTAATACAAGAAAACTACGAATAATACAAATAAAACCCGTTTAAGCTTATTTGATATAAACGTTTTCCTTCAATGACAGAGGGCTTGTGATTTTTGTCTTCTTATTTTTTCTTGTTCTGATAAAAACATTATGTTGGGGGTGCTCTTTGTTTAATACAGAGAGGCAGATTAAGTATCTTGGCAGGATGATAAGGCTGAAAGACCACAGTAATTACATAGAGGTTTTCTTATCTGAGTTTTAAAGGCCTATGATGTATGTTGTGGCAAATTGCTGCTTGTTGGAATGAGGTGAGGTAGCAGGAAGGAAACAGGAGGATGTAGTGCTTTTCTCTTGTCAGATAATCAATATTGGGACAGACTGTAGGGGAGATGGATGGACTGAACTGCTAGGCAGACCATATGCCAAATACAGGCTGGTTTTATCCTCCAAAAACTCTGAAAAATCTCTGCACTGCACTGCATTTTCAAATACAGCCTGACAGCAGCTATGGATTTTCCACTCTAAAAGTAATTCACGGCCCTTTGCATGAGCTCACTTCTTTATTGCCCGTGAAGAGCTTTTTTCGTAGGCACGACATGTGATAAATGCTCGGCTGCAACAACAAGGCTTTAAGGCTAGATGCTGAATCCACTGATCTTAATCCAAAGTTGTTTAAATACTCGGCTTAGATGTTATTTGGTATGAACAGGCTTTGACACAATTGGCTGTCACTTCTGTTATTTTAAACTGCAGGCAGTTCTCCCAAGCAAAAGACAAGTCACATGGGCGCCACGGTAGATTGGAGATTTATGAAACATGAATTAGCTATGAAAATCACACACAGGCTGGGAGGCAGGTTTGTGCACTGCACGAGCAAAGAAAGTGTCCTGCAAAATTGACACATCAGGTTCAAACATGTTCTTAGCGAGCTCTTAGCAAGACAGGGGCTTCAGAGGTGATTTTTAAAGAGTTGCAAAGATCTCTTGAGATTGCAAGAAGGTGTGTGGGGATTATTCAAGTACTACAAAATGGTTTGTCACATAATGAGGTCTTTAAAATGTGAGACAGACCTCCTTTAAACAGCTGAAAATCCTGAGGGGTGAGAGGTTTGACCAGGCTACAGTCATTACATCATCTTCCAGCTCTGAAACTCTGATCAAGTAGGTAATGCATCAGCACTAGAGAACCAGCTGATCAATAAATCATTTAATGTGGTTAAAAAATGTATTAGCTCTGGTTCCCTAGTGACACCAAGAACACTCTGGATTTTATTCCTTACCTGTCAATCAGCTGTTACAACAAGTGAATGTCACGTTGGCTTTCTAGTACCGACTGAGGGCTCTGAGGTAATTTCATAACTGTCCCTAGTGAAGACCACCAACAATATTATGCAACTGAGCTCTTAAAAACTACCCACTGCATAGTCTGATTCTCTGCACTCTGCCCCGCAGCATCACTTCTTATAAACGACATCAGTGTGGGTCAAAGGTGTTGTGATGACAGCAATAATAACAAGAAGAAACTAATGTTTTACAATAAGCCCATTCGTATTTTTGAAACTGTTATAATTGACCGGGTTGTCGAGCATTAGCAGTAAATGCCAGGTTACATCAGTATTGTTTATCTCAGCCTACTTTGGGACACTGGACCAGAGAGTGTTCTCGCAGGCACACAGCACATCAAACACGGGCATGGCAGTGTTTTCAGTCGGTAGGCGTCTTGCACTCTCTCTCCCTAGCTTTCCACTTGACTTTAATTTGCTCTAGTACGCGTCATCTTTACAGACTCGCCTCCACGCATTGTGGGCTATACTTTCTGCCTGGGCCATTATTATTATTATTTAAAGGGAAAAAATCAAACACAGACATAAACAAGCAAACAAAGCAAAACAAACAAAGCCCAGCTGACATTACCGACGCCTTCACAACCACATGCCCTTCCCTCTTTGATTTTTGGGGGGACTTTTTAAGAAGCGGAAGGCGAATTTGTTTGAGCACACGTTGTCAGGATGAGCTGATGTGAGCGCTGCATCAAGTGCGCGGTGGTGATGCTCCCGTATAAAACAGCCCGCCGTATTTTGGCACAGAGGAGGATGCATCACTTTAACCCTCGGCTCTGCCCTCCGGACTCGCCCATACAGTGCTCAGCTTAGATAAGTTGAGAGGGGATGTGTGATGCCATTGCAAGGAATCCTACTACTCGATATTCCCGAGGATCTCTCTCGGTTCGTTTTTTCCTTCAACTTCGATGGCTTGAGTGGTCCATTTGCGCTCATGCTTGCAGCCGAGGAGGGATGTAAGGTACGGGCATCTACCGCCCTCACATTGCACGGAGTAGCGGCGTGATTCAGGTCGCTATCTGAGTGCCAGAAAGCAAAAAACTACTTTGGAGATGTGAATTATCGAGATTTGCCACTCATTCCACCGGCTCGCCTGTCCTATGCTATCGACAACGGGATTTCAAGAGGAAAATGATTGTGGCATAAACTATTTCTGGAGACGCCTGTCACAGATATCGCCGCTGAACTGGATAGGGTGGATGGTTATTTCCCAAACAGTTCAAGCCTATGTATACTGCATTCATTTGTTGGAAACGCTGCCTAGTATCTTCGAGAACAGCGCAAGAGGAATGCTGTGCCAAGATCTAATGCCATTTACTTTAAGTTTTTGGCCTTTTTTCTTCGGTCATTGCCTTCTCTCACTGTTGTTACTCTCGTGCCAGGTAAGGATCACGTTCAGGCGCGCCACTTGACAATTTACGCATGAGAAGAGGTTACACTGATGTAACTTGAGTTTCATTTACTGATGGACTATGGATAAGAGCTGTGGAGCTAATAACCTTTTCCAAGTAACTTGTGTGCTCTTTAAGATGCATTGCCATATAATACCAGCTTACACTTGGTGGGATCACCGCTCCAGAGCACACCTGTGTTGAGGGAATGCTGGCAGGCAGGCGTGTGTAGTGAGTTTGCAGCAGGTCATAAGAAATGCAGCTATGCCCAGGTACACACAGAGGCACTCTGCTTTTTTGTTGTGGGAACACGGAGTAACCAACTGTGTTTATATGATAACAACATTCAGTTATCCCACCAGGATCCCTGGAGCAGGCATATGTTAGTGATGAGTATTCTAACCTCTGCCCCATGCTGCTGCCTACAGATAGTGGTGAGCAGTTGTTCACGCGCACACAGTGTTGCCAGGGTTCACGTGTAATGTGATCTGCTTGAGTTTCCAAGTCCACCCACGCACACTCCTCGGGGCAGCCTGCTGCCCACTCTGTTGGTGGGTGGTTTCTTACAGGGAGCGGGCTGCAGCCATATATGTGATACTATTTTACATGTACTACATACACAGTAGCCCCAGTGACAACAACACTGGAGCTGCGATATGAAAGGAATGCTGAGAGGATATCCACAGTGCTACAAACTAAGAGGCTGCTGAGTATTCAAGCATCTCCATTTGTGCTGCACAGTGTTGTGCTGATGGTACTTCTGAGTAATGCACTAAGGGACACAGCCTCAGTCCTTTCAATCTCTCTTTCTCTCCCTCTGTCTCTTTTTTCTCTCACCATAAGGGAGAGCTCCAGAGGTCATGCTCACGGACTGTGGCGGAGAAAGTTAGTGAACAGTGCCAGCTGGCATGCCACTGTAGAAGATACCCTCCACTTCCACCGCCGCCGCCTCCACCGCCGCCCCCGCGGCTACTGGGCACCACAGGTAAGGCTTCCAGCTCACCCTCCAACCTTTCACAGCTGTCTCCCTTCAAGTCCGTCTCAGTCTGTTTGCTCTCAGCCCACAGTTGGATCTTGTTCCTAGCCAGGCGCAGGTGTCGGGCAAGTGGCTAGTCTGAAGAAACTGTTTTGACGTGAAGTGTTTCCATTTATGTACACGGGGAAAATGCACCATCAACCAGTTGAGATTAACGTGTGAGTGCTCGTGCACGGGTGTAATTTTGCACTCTTGTGTTTGTGCGTGTGTTAGAGCCAGCAGGATGTTGACAGCTGAACACAAGACTAATATATACTGGGTCTGACCCTGGGGAGTACCCGGCTGCCTGTGAAATCTATGCCTGCTGGGCTGCCAAGCTCAGTGGTTCAGTGGTAGGGTTTCCCCCTGGAGAACCCCTGATTAAAAGACAGATGAGTTAATTAAATTAGCTATAATTTGTTAGAGATAAGGGGCTAATGATCCAGCCCAGTAGTTCCAGCTTTGTTTTGAAGTCGAGCTGGCGGCAATAAGTGTGCGTGCGTGTTAGTGCTCATACACAACAAGCTTGGATATCTGTGTCGCTCCAGCGCCTGTTGTGGCAGCGCTCCCCTTCACCTTCCTCTTTCGTCTCACTCTGAGGTGCTAAATCTATTGAGCAAAAGGCAAACATATTTAACAGGCCTGCTTGCTGAAAGTTGATATGATTTGTATTTCATCTCAGGCACCTTAATGAACAGTGCTGAAATATGGGACAGGTGTTTTGCTGATGATGCAGCTATTACTGTGATTCTTTAGAATCACTCATCCTGAGCCCTTCGTATTACAAGGAGGGGGGATACTTAATCACGAAGCAGTGGAAGGACTTTAATCAATCAGCTTCAATGTGTTCTTTTCCTGTCTGGTCAATGCAAATGGACCTCCTTTTTCCCCTGACTCACCATGTGAGTTAACTACAAATCGAGAGTTATAGACTCTTCTGTGATTGTTGTCAAGGTCACTGCATGAATCCTGCCACAACCATCTGACTGCAAGTGAAGGTGGGCCTTAGGCCAATACAAGCTCAGACCTCTGAGTGCTGCCTCCACAAGATCTGATCCCTCCAACAACAACCAAATAAAAAAACAGCAAAATGTCATGTTAATAAGATAAGCGGATCAATCTTCATTTCTTTTTATCTTTGCACACATATGTTTGCAGTGGGTGGAGACACTATTAATATTTGATTCAAAGGGAGTTTTTTTTTTGTCATCACATTTTTCATGCATAATTGTCTAAATATTCATTCAGCAGCCCAATTTGCAGAGCACTTTGAGCTGAAAATGTGCTTTAAACTGTCGTCTTTAAAATCCAATGAATATGCACAGCTAACATGAAAACTGGGACAATGGCCGGGACCACATCTATCAGATAAAAGTCTAATAAAACTGAGGAAAAATTGGCACAGTTAAAGAAGTGTCTGCGTGCTAAAAATGGTATCTGAGGTCCCTTGATAGGACTGTGCTCTATCACAATAAAGTAGATCCTTACCACTGACTGAATTAAATCCTACAGCCGTTGACAAAACGAAGGATTAAAATGGAAGTTTGGCTGAGAGGGGCTTTTAAATTCACAGTGACTTATGATGTGGTGTGCTGTACCAGGGAGAGCCATACCTTTTTATTTGCTGTGTAGAAATGGGCTGTGTTGGAAAAATAGTCTTCAGCTTTACTCAGGAGTATTTGTTGCTATGGTGTAAGCCCATTCGTCTCATTCATAACTAAAATCCTCTACATGCAGGAGGAGCTTGTTATTTTATGTAGCGAACAGGGTATTTTCTCCTTGAATGATAGGTAGATATGCTCATGACAAACCTGATTTAAAGATGGTGGGAGAGTACAGGATGCTGCAAAACGAGGCGAGAGAAATTCTGCAATACAGATACGAAGATGCTGATGCACACAATGTTATACAACATTCCTGGTGAGTGATCTTACTCCACGACTCTAATGTGGAAAGAGCAGGAGGTTCCTGCAACAGTAATTGGTGTGGACAAGAGTGCTGGTGTAGGGAAGGCTGACAGGACCTTAAATGATTCATGGTGTCGGGTTGGATATCTTTGAACGTTGCACCTAAGACCTAAAGAATGGGTGAGGACACGAATGCATCCCAGCACAAAAAGAGCAGAGAAGAGAAATCGTCTTGTTTCTCTTTCACTATTGTGTTGTTTAAAAGTTAAGCCACTTACTAAGGATCAAAATGCAAAACACAAGTCAGCATTGTGGCTTAAGTGTAAATATAATTAATGCATTTTTCATAATGCGCTTACCTTTTTTAAAGATGTGTTTTAATGTATTGTGTTTATTGTCTTCTTCTGTACCTACACCTCTCTCTCCTTGCTGCCCCTTTCACTCTGTTTCTAAGTGGAAAAGCCCAAGGTGCAATTGTGGAGGCCGTGGTGGATGGAGATGGACATCGTAGTTCTCGGAACGGTGGGCTGTGCCTCACTTATCTTCCTCCTCTCAGCTATCATCATCTGCTACAAAGCTATCAAGAGGTAAGAAGCCACCCTAACATGTTTAATTCTGTTTGTTTAACATTGTAATTAAAACCTCGCATATTTCCAAATTATTTTAAAATGAGGACTAACTGAAGTAGAAGTCAGTCACAGATTGAGACAGGCGGGTAAATAGACATGTGGGGTACTCTAATAAGTGTCCTGCCTTTTTGTTAGAGTTATGCCATTGCCCCCCTAGGTCATACTGAGGTCAGAGGTTAGGTGGGTTGTAAATATCCACTACATTGAGTCAAGCAGAAATATCCTATATGCTGAATTCATTTGCTGAAGTGCAAAATGACATAACAATGCTCTATTGATTTTGATTCCCATAAAAGTCTGAAGCATCCTAGAATGGCAGCTGGATTCATAAATGTGAAAGCAAGAGCCAAGCAAAGGAATCCCAACACACTGCTGTTGCAGCATTTTCCACATTTGGCTTATTTGAAAAAAAAAAGTCTGTGTGAGGTTTTACTCTGCGGCACAACCAGACCCAATTCTCTTGATGCCGTTCAGGCAGCACGGTATCACACGTGCACTCCGACGTTCCCTTAATGTTCACAGATATTTCAAAAATAGTCACATCTGAATCTTGCCAGGTTTGTAAAGGATACTTGCATGCACCCATCCACAAACACACAATATCTTTACACGCACTCATTCATCATCTTGGCGTGTTTCACAGTCCACAACTAACCACGTGAGAACGCCATGTGTGCAGAATTAGGCATTAAATCAAGAAGCTACTTCTATGTTTTATGCATATGTATTTAAAAAGATCTAGTATTCTACCTTCTTATATTTATGGGACTATATTAAGCCTGCATGCCAGATATGGCTTTCTTCAGCAGAACTCTATTTCGCCTTTCTTTAAACAACAAATAGGCAAAGTCAGGCAGCGGAAGTAATGGGCGGTTGGCTCAGGAATTCATTATGGCAATTCTCCAGCCCCCTGTGTAGCCAAGGGGCACCTTTTTTAATGCAGCAGTGGTAGGAAAGTGTTGTTGCAATATGGGCTCTAGCCCCAAACCCAAGTCATTATTTATGAATTAATTTGCGCAGTCATTCAGTCGCTGGCCACATCTTTTATACATGCAAGCAGGTCGTGTCCTGAAGCTCTGTGGGCTCTAGACTGCAGACTTTGTGCCACGCCAAGCTGCCCTCTACTCAGAATGAGAAGGGAATATACACAGGTCCAGACTAGGCTCATTAGACATTCATTAGTCAAAGCCAGTAGCAGAGCGGTCCAGGGAAAGATGTGACTGCTTTAGCATTTGTCTTGGATTCTCTAATCATCCATCGTTCCAGAGGGGAAAGGAGAGGAAACAACACAGCCAAAAAGGACAGATAAAGTGTTGTCTACCAAAGCGAGCAAAGGCAGTAATTCAGCATCTCAGTCAATAACAGTGTGAAAAAGGGTTTGTCAGTGAGAAAAACACAGCCCGGTTATATATAGCCCTCCCAGCTCAGTGCTCCGGGCTTTCCCAATGAAAATCAGCTGGACGAGGGCCAAGGCCCAAGCATTACAGACAGTGGAAGAGCGAGCACTGCAGGTCCCAGCCCTCCTGGCCTTTTGTTATTTTTTGTAATCTTTGCTTGCCAGTCATCTGTCAGAAGCAAGCGGGACTGAAAAGGAGAAAAAAAAGAGCACTTCCACACAAGCCTATTCAGAGTCCACAGCACCAGAGAGGCTGGTGTGCAAGCACAGAGAGGAGGATTCAGGCACACGCTGCTTTTCAGTGTTGCTGTACCATCCAAAGCAAAAGAGATGATACTGCAGTCCAGGCTGTCAGCCATCCAAGGCGCCAAAACAAATAAAACTCAGACCAACTGACTAATGAAGCTAGATGCTTTTCCCAATCACTTACCGCTCAGGGAGGCTTGTTCAAAGACGGATAATGCATCCCAGCTGGTCCTTTTCAAGGGTAACACAGAACTTCCAAAATGCTCAAAAAACCGAAACGGAAAATGCTACAATATTTGCTCACACATCATTAATCTCCCTTTGTTTTATTTTCGAAATCGCTAAACCGGCACCATCAAAACCGGTGACAGGCTTTTACAGTCTGTTTTGTAATGCGTTTGCTTTGAACCATACCATGTTACTCTAATTTCCAGATGGCTGGAGTAATTGTAAACAGCCCAACGCATGTCCTAATTTCACCATCATGCATTCCCCAAACTTCAAACAGCAATGTGCGCTGTGATTGCACAGCTTTGATATGAAATATTCATCTAACCTGTGAAGTGTTGTGTTGCCACCTGCCACGTGTCAACAGCATGGCATCTATTATTGAAGGCCCGGGCAGAGGTCGGCTTGAGGCCCCAGTGCTCTGCCCTGTGTGGTGGCCCAAAGCGACATGGTCAGTCAGTGCGGAGATTACATCCTGAGAAAAATAAACAGGGCCGAAGCGGCTTCCAGGAATCTGTAGCTCACCGGTGTCGAACAGCACAGAGATCCTGTCTTGTTCTCTTACTTGCTAAATCTCATGTGGAATCATCGAGACATGCCAGACTTCTTGTTTTTTCATCCGTTTTCAACACAATTCAGTTGTGACTTAGAATAAAACTCCTTTTTATCTTAAATTTAACTGGCTGCACCAAATATAATGAGGGACATTTAAAAAGCTCTGTGATTCCACCCATAAAGAGCAAAACACGTCACTGATTAAAATCATAGCAGCAGTCCGCTTTAGAGCCATCTCTGCTCTGGACTACTTCCAGTGCTAATTTTAAATGGCTCCTGTTCCGTCCACTTGCACATATGCATCTGCAATGCGTTCTGGATCTCCTCCACTGTGTGGAGCCTTTCAACTTCAATTGCATTTTGGGGAAGAGGACGAAGCAAGGCAGGTGGTGAGAGAACATTGTGTTGATGTGGCTAAAAGCTACAATGTGAGTGTAGAAGGTTCAAATTTTCCCTGTAGTTTCTCAGAACATCACAGTCCAGTCTCCACCTCCAGAGTCCGACCCTGGTGGATGAATTCATAGTGAAACTTTAAAACATGAGCATGCTACTCACGCGATGGCCCTCCTCCAAGGAGGACACTGCTGGAGACTCAGTTCCCGTTACTACTGTCGATATTTAACGTGAAGGAGGAGTTGCTTTCACATAAAGGTTTGAGGTCTAAGCTGAAACAGGCTCGTATATTAAACAGGTAAGAACAGAGCTTCCAGGAAGAGCACACACACACACACACGCACACAAACTCACGTAAATGAAATGAATGAAAACTGTTCATCATAAATTTGTGTTCAGTGTTTTTCCAAATGATACTGTGGACATCCCAGCCACAGTCACTGACTTATTAAAAAAAAGTATGATATAAAACTATCAGTCTGCTACAGAAGTAAGAATAGGAATACCATCAGATGTTCCTACATAAAAATGTGGCAACGTCCGTGGATAAGTGTGGACATTGTTTTATTGCACCGTCGTCAAAGCTGGTTTATCTTTTTGTTTTGTCATGTCTTACAGCAACATCCATATCACCCTTTGTTTATGTAGTTTCATCTGTTGCTGTAGGAACCAAAGGGAAAAATCTTACTTTGTCCCAACACCCACAGGTCTGTTTAACTCTTATCATAGTTTTCTGTAACTGGACTCCAGAAATGTTTGAGGCTAATGTTGTTATAGAGTCTATGTTGGCTGGACTTTGGGAGATTCCTCCTCCATCCTCCCTGTGGGACAGATATAATTGTGTCTAGCATATTGTTTTGTGTGAGTAACTGTTGCTGTTTTTGTACATTCTCCCTCAGGCGGCAGCAGTGATTAATAGATTAATACAGACCTGTAAAACTGGTATATCCCAAATCCCTTCCCTGCAGCAGTGGGGACCACCGCCCCCTCCCCACATCAGAGTGTTTCCACCCCGGGGCTGGACAGTTTCTTTTCTCAGGCTTTCCCCTAGTCTCACAGGGACACAGCAAGCAGCATCTGCTCTACATGGCCAGCATGTGTCCCAGTTGTGTTCACCCAAATGACCCCTCCCAGGTGACACTGGAGTCCCACAGGAAGTCTTAGTCATACTGTTGTGTTTTGTTTAAAAGTTTTTTTCTGGAAAGTATAATGTTCGCACATAATGTTGTTCAGCTTCTGCATGGCCCTCCAAAGTATCTACACAGAAATTCCCAATCACTTTTCAGGTATAAAAGCTCAGTTAAAAGTCAGTAAAATCTCCCTCCCTTCTTCTTATTAACACACACACCCTCATAACAATCAACCTAAGTTAGTCTGACTCAATGATGGCACTATATTAAAAGTTCTCTATAAAATACATGTTGTGAACTCACAAATTTTAAACTAGTGGAAGAGACACAGTATGATAAAGCCACCCTGTTAGAGTAGTTAAAAATGTGAGGTGGGGGATTTTCAAAGACTTTCATATTTACACCCTATTGTAGTTTTTGTTTCTTTGAATGGAAACCCTTTAAAATGTTTAAAGATCCTGATACTGACTTTGCAGATCAGAGTAACTTGTGTAAAAACTGGACGGAGTCAAGCCGAGCAGGATTTTATGGCTAATGCCGGCGAGCACGGGAGGCAGATGGGTCGAGGTTAAGCTCTGCGCTGAAGTGACAGCTGAAAAACAGCCGAGACGGGAGCATTTTTCAAAATCTGACAGCGGCAAGACGGTTGTTTAACAGGTGTGGCAAAAATGTGATCGGTCAAAGTGCGTGGGAGCATCCCAAAGAGACAGCTGACAGACTGAGATGACAGCACAAGAATTATAAATATTGAGTGGTGCAAAAAAAAAAAAAAAAACCCTGGCAGATCATTTTTCATACTGACACCTCACCAAGAAAGAATCGTATAAATATTGCTAGTATTACAGAAAAATATCCTTAAGGCATATTGAAAGACTTGGTGTGATAATGATTCAGCAAAATCCTGTGCACGGAGGGAAAGAAATGCTATCAGGTGTATTAGACCTCCAAGTAATGTTAACTTTTTAATGAGATCTTGTCAGAGGTCTGGATTCATTACTGGTTGCGTTTTAAGTCTCTGGATATGATAACACCATTAAAACCATATCTCCGTAATTTCCAATACACGATGCCATCAGTCTTAAGCAACGGTGTGTTTTATTATTCATGAGTTCAACACATTGTTGTTTTTAAAATGTTCCATAGTCCTTTTAAAAGTACCCTCTTCAGTTCTCAACAAGAAGCTAATCCTCACGAGTCACACTGAGTGCTTTCTTCTTGCAGAGCTTTTGTATTGGATTGCATTATGTCATGTATGAGCTCATTTCACCCTGCAAGGACTCCCTGTCTGCACGATTCCTTCCCGGCACGATGCCCGAGAAAGGAAAAAGATTTGTGCTGGACCGGACTGAATGTTTGTTGAAGTTGTGCCGGCCAGCCCGGGCTTTCAGGGGCCAGGAGAGGAGAGGAGGGGAGATATTGAGCTTAGATGTAGCTGAAGGGTTCTCGGTGCTAGTGAAGGCACTGTACAGTGTTGAGTGGGACAATGACTGTACTAACTGTATTCAGATCTGTCTCTGAGTTACATAAACCCGGGCAGGGGAGGGCAGCTGAGGGGGTCGGTGCAGAAGCCACAGTACACTGGACAAATATAATAACCACAAAGGCATCAAGGAGCGCATGAAAAGAGCTACATTGAATGATCCTGCTCTTCACAGACTAGTAGCAGCAAGGGGATCATGTGCTGCTGTTTTCTTTTGCACTAGAGCAAAGATCGAGCATTACAGCGCAACCGGTTTTTAAGAAGGAATTTCCCAGGAGGTTGTGTATCGATGTCATTCCCAAGTTGTTTTGACAGCTACACATACTCATTACTTAGAAGAGAAGATTGCATCTCCCAGTCATAGTAGGTAATTGCCTTATGCCATGTGCTGCAATGTATCTTTTCCTTCTGTCTCCTTGCAAAATTGACCTTTAAACACTGCGCTTATTAGAAGGGATTGCTGAGAGCAGCATATCCACCCAGAGCAGCTTCAGAAATCAAATCAGTCTGTAGGTCAGCAGTCCACAAACTCTGTTTAATGGCATGGCCTTTAGCTATGGATGAATGTAGTGCCATTTTGCTTTGTTTTTTTGATCAAGGAATTCATCCTCACTTTGTAAAAATGTCTATTCACAGGAAACCACTCCGAAAAGAAGAGAACGGGACAAGTCGTGGGGAGTATGCCATGAGCATCCGTAACAAGAAGGCCATGGGTACAAACAACACTGTGGTATAGACTGTCCTGGTAAACATGAAGTGACATCACCATTGTCGCTCACCTTATCCTGACTACAACAGTTCCCTCTCACCTTGAATGAATGCGAGTGGGTTTCACCCCAGGTTTTCAGATTGGTAAAACTTCCCTCTTTGCCTGGCACGTTGCCCGGACTGAAGACACCATTCACCTCGAGAAAAGCTAAAAAGATCGACGGGGGGGAAAAAATCAAGACAGAAAGGACACAGAGAAAGATCCACAACCCCCCACGGTGTCGAAAGTGGCACAGCAAGCTGAACATTATGCTCTTAGTAACAGCAAGTGTTGCTGACAGGCTGGTTGGCTGCCGGCTGGAGAGGGACTGTCTGCCAGTCTGCTGCAGATCCAGACCTCACGCACTGTTGACATCTGCAATGGAACAACAGACAATACAGCAGCCCTGCAGTCCCACGGGCAGCCAGACAAGACAGCCCATCACACACAACAAATAACATGCATGCAGTTTTTACAGAGAATGCAACATTTTTTTATATTCCAACCCTCGCACTGTCCGTTTTTTTCCCCTCCATTTTTGAGACAGATGCTTTGTGAGAAACACGATGTTGCTGCCGGTCCTGGCTCTGAGATGTGGATTCCTCTGACTATGCAATTTAAAGAAATCCATATAAACAAAGGAGGAGCAGAAACATCAACATGGGACATTCTGGTTATTTCGCCATGCCAAAACAGGCTACAGAAGGCTCAATGTAATATATATATATTTCAGTCATCCGTGTATTTATTTCCTCTATTTATTTACTTGTCTATCTTTGAATTTATTTTTCTACTTAAAAGGGAAAAACAACGGTCTTGTAAGTTACTCACATCTTTTCAAATCTTGAACATCTTGACGAATTCATCTTATTTCTTGAGAGCTCTGTTTTCTAAGTGAATAATTTATAGATCATATAATTCATTTGTGATGCACCAATGCTTTAAGCCGGCTGTCGGTTTGTTGAGACACTGATGCAGAAAACGCGCTTGCTCTGCAAAGAGTTTTGGTATCAGTTGTTTTGTCTCTGGGTGTTTGATATCCTCTTCTGTTTCCCTGAGACTTCAGCTAAAAAAGTCAGGGGCCTCCATTATGTCCTATGTGATCTTTGTGAATGTGTGTTACCCGAACAATACTCCTGTCCTGCATCACACGCCAGTCCCGACTTTCCGATTTGTTCGCTCAGTGCAAGCACCTCTACAAGTTAAACCTGCTCTCCCTGTCGTCCAGTTAAATCTTGTTGTCCAATGTCCCGTGGTCAGCTGGATGCCTTCCGCCGTGTTTTGTCTGGACGTGACAATCTTCATTTTTCTATCTGTCAAGAAGGGCTTAGCCCATCACTATAGAAACAGGGGACATGAGCCCAGAGCTGACCTTGTGACTGGCGAGAGACAGGAGACTTAGCCAATAGCCAGAGATCAGGTTGCACAGAGGATGGCCTCATCAAGGATGTGTGTGACTCAGTGCTGTCACAGGCATCCTTCTCATCCCCGCTGGAAAAACACAACTGAGCTGAACTGGAGCATCACTCAACGCTGCTCTGCTTTCTTTTCTTTTTTTTTCTTTAATACACTAAATCTGCGTGTGTCTGTGCGGGCATGCATGTGCGCGTGTATGAGTGTGTGTCTGTCTGTCTGTCTGTGAGCGTGCATGCAGATGAGTGTACTCAGTGAGAGTGGGCTGTACTCTGTGGCTGTCAGTTAAGTATAGATATTGGCTAAACTGTGGAAAATATAGGGGGATTTTAAAAAAAACAACACATACTTGCATTTAAAAATGCACAGGTATTAGCTAACAGTAAACCCCACCATGTACCTATATGAGAGAAATGATGGATGCATGAATGTAAATATTGATATTTAAATATCTGCCTTCTGGACTGTTAATTCATGTACAGTGTAACAGAACATATGTTTATACATAGTAAAAGTTTAAAAAATGTGCTACCACTTAGAATTATGTCAGTGTTGTCATGTTGATGGAGCAAGCCATTAATGTATATATGGCAATCAATAGAGCATACACAAGTTATGCATTATACCAAACAGATAACGAAATGTGCATAAGTTGATTTCATTGCTGAGTTTTTCAGTTGTAAATAAAACTGTACATAACAACTGACCCACAGTATGTTGTGTTTAAAGAAATGCATGTGCAGTTATAAAACCACTGTTATATGTGGGCAGACGAGCTGGCCCGTACGTGGTGAAGGTGATAAAAGTGAGACTGTTATATTTAGCCTGTGCCCATCTTGTCTGCTTTATGCTGTGCTGTGCCGTTCGCGTCTTTGGGCAGAGGCGTGCTGGCCTTGTCTCCTGGGCCCCCCACAGCGGAGGACATGTTCTCAGTCTGTCTCACACAGTGCATCTTTAATGAACTGCGATTACCAAGCGCACTCCTCTCCGTGGGGCTTAATGGCACCAGCCAGAAAACTTTTAGGTCACATATTGTGCAAGCTCTGGGCTCGATCAATAACAGTGTCACTAAAAAAATCACGTCTGTGTGTGTGCGTGTGGGTGTGTGTGTAAAAGATTTCTGCAGCTAGAGCAAGAACATGAGTTGATATAACAAAATGAGGTTTTTAGAGTAAGATAAAAGAGGGTAATGGATTCAAAACACCTCTTACAGAGCCTGCATTCTTACACTAGGTTGCGCAGACATGTTCCTATTTCTGTTTTAATTTGCACACCAGACCGTGATGTGAAACAAACAAGGGAGCCTAAACCTGTGCTGTACAGGCTGATGTACAAGAGCACTCAAGAGGAATGTTGATGAATTATAATGTGAATGAGGGTCCATCGAGTTCTCTGCCTTCCCTGCTTTGGATGTGCCACTTGACGGTAATGCAAATGGACACGCAGAGCAATTTAAACATTCATGCATTGTCCAGCCAGGGCGCTGTGGATTTCACTGTAATAAAACCAAAGTGACAGCACTAGGCAGGGGTACTGGGAATTGTCACCGTCTCAACAAGTTTTTCGAGGCTTTCCTTACAGCAATAAGGTGCTGGAACACTGATTTTATTTTTTTCAAACATTTGTTTTCTACCAGTGTGCTGCTGAGTTTTATCTGCTGCTTCTATACCTCTGCTCTTTAATCACGAGATGTCACCAGCGCACACACCTGGTGATGCATTGTGCTGGTGCATTGGTTGTGTGAGAGAGCTTGCACAGTCCTTTTTTTAAAGCTGACCTTCACAGTCTTTGAGGACCCACTCACACCCTCTCTGCCCGCCAGTCCTTTGGTCAGTGTTAATTACCCTCAGCACCTCCAGCTGCCTACTCATCAGGTCAGCGCTCCCATATGGTCCTGCAGGAGGCAGGCAGGCAGGCGGCAAGCAGGGGTGGGGAAAGTGCTGGATACCTGTGGGACACTGATTACATAAGCTGCTGCTAATGAGAAAGGTTCTTTCAGAAAGGGCTGCGAGTTCAAACGATCACAACGGTGGCAGTGGCTGACAGATGCAACCCCAGAGCAAGGGGGACTTGATTAAACGCACGCACACATGCAGGGACACATGCGCACATACACACCTGTAGCTAACATCACTTTAATGCACACTCTCACACGTAGAGGCGCAGCAGGAAAGGACCTCTTTGATGAGCCATGGCTAGAGGTTGATGAGAAGGGGCACTGCAGCCTGATTCAGCTGGCTTGAGGTCACCGGGGAGTGTGCGCGCGTGTGTGTAAGTGCGTGTTCATTAGTCACATTGTGTGATATCATTATACTAGTGACTCATTTGGCAGACACCTCTCAACATGGGTCTTTCAATACCAGCTGCGACTAAAAAGTAATATTTTAAAGAATTTATGCGCAGATCAAATGTGACTTATTTTGGTCCGATAAGCTAATTTTTCCTCGCAGAATACATCTATATCAGCAGATCTAATTCATGCTAAATCCTGATAATGAAATCCTTGCAGCAGAAAAGATCAAAACAAAGATTAATGTGCTGTTCGGTTTTCAGGGCCTGCTGTCATGTCATCTGTTATTCTCAGACAAGAGCTTCATGGTAATACAGTTAGACCTCACAAAAATCCTTAATCACAACAAACCACATTAGGCCAAAGGTAATTGTGTTTGCTTGGTATATGCATGGGCCTATCTGTTTCGCTGCTGCCAATGAAGGGAGGGCTGGAGTAGGAGGAGGCGGGGTGTCTTTCCACTTTGGGGGTGAGGGGGGAGCAAACCGAAATAGTCTTGTTTACCTCCAATGTCTGGCTCCACGTTATCGAGTTACAAAGCTGCTGCCGCAACTCGGATTGGCCTCTGATCGATCTGAGCTGTGATGGCAAAAGGCAGCATGACTGACAGCCTGACAAGGATCTTAGCTGGGAGCTGGGTAATGCATGTCATGTCGTTTTCCCGTAGACACCTGAGGTTTTTTTTCGCTCAGAGGAGTAGCCAGCAGAGCTGATTTTATCTCTCCGCCGTCCACATTATGGTAAGCTGGGCATTTTCCCCATCAGTCAGGACATCAAAGGGCAGAAAATGTCATATTTGAATTTTTAAAGGCTCAGCAATTCATTTGAAATGTCAAAGCGTCTCGATGTTTAGAAAAACTTGTACTTTTATTATTCGGCTTGCAACCAAGCAACTTAAAAAGTGATAGGTTATGAATGTCAGAGTGAACATATCTATGATTAAACAAGCATTTGGTTTCAGGCCCTTGCTATTACTAACATGGGTCTGTGGAAATCCTCTACAGTCGTCTGACTCTTCAATTCTGTTAAATGCAACAGATTGGGCACCGAACACAGTTCTTCTACACAGTCCAACTCCAGTGTTAGTACTTTAAAATAGCATAGATTTACTGTACATATACTAAAGGTTCTGAAAAATGATTCATTTCAAACGAATCCCACACAGCATCACTTTATATAAGAGTCCTTTTTTTTTTTTTTTAAAGTCACTTTCAGCCAGAGCAGATGCATGCAGGCCTAGGGACCCAGGTGAGGCAGAGCTGACCACAGAACAGGTCACATGGGGTAAAACTGTGAAGCAGCCTCAGACGACTGGATCTCCACCTGAGCCATCTTGAACTGGGTGCACTGCAGCCATTTGCGCAGGGCGAACGGAGGGGCTCCGGACATCTGGCCCTGCAGACACTGGTGGTTCACCCTATTCTGGATGGCCTGAAGACGCAACTGCAGCCCTGCAGACAGATGCTTACGACGAAAAGAAGAGATGATAGTGTTTCAGTTTGAAATCATCAATAGTAATTATCATTCATCTGTATGATTAACACCTTTTAAAACCACTTACCTTAAGATTTGACTGAATCATGGGTAGCCACATAGGAATTAACTGAAAAAAGAAATGGAGATGAATAAATAAGCATTATTCTGCATGTTACAGAGAGAATATACAGCACTGTCTGCATGGAAGGACACTGGACTTATAGCAAACCTTGACAAAGATGGTTGAGTTGCATTCCTGCAGGGCCTCCATTAAACTAATGACATGAAGACACACCATCTCTACCATCTGAGAGACAAATATGAAATAGACTTAATTTTATGTAACATATTTACTGTTTACTCATAATATTAAAAGAAGAAAATCACCATTCTTCCACAGCGACAGTCCTGACTGTCTTAGACGGATGTTTGCAAAGGATACCGCGCAGCACTTACAACTTTATTGTGGGCCATAAGCTGCAGGATGCTGGGTGTAACCCGACTCCAGAACTCGAGGCCCGTGAGGATGGCGCTGGAAGAAAACTCTGTCTGGTTCTGGTTCTGCAGGGAGGGAGCGGCGGCTGCCTGCTCGCAGTAGATGGTCCACAGCTGGGCGAACATGAAGGCGTGGAACAGGGAGCACATGTGCAGCACCGACGTCTGAGGATAAGGACCGAGACCAAAACTGACAAGGCCATTGTGGTTGCCACAAATCGC